TCTGGGAGTTGAAGTCCACTCATCTTAAAGTGGCCAAGTTTGGACAACACTGTTTTAAGTGGATTTCCAGTTGTTTCCTTTTTAATCTCCTTTAAGCTTGCCAGGTTTTGCACACAAGGTTTAGATGCCCTGATCTTAGTGCCTATCTACCTAATTCCACTGTTGTCTATCTAATTTAGGATTATTTAGTTATTTTTAATAAAGGCAGGATCAGACAAGAGTTGGGACTGCCAAGCTGATGTCAAAAACACCACAGGCTTCCTAATGAGGAATGCCTCTATGGCTATTAGTATTTTAGTTTGTCTAAATATAGGAATCAAGAATCAGCCAAAGTCATAAATTGTTCAGGGACAGAACTTCCAGCCTTTAAAATCTGCTCCATGTCTAAGAGAAATCAATATGATGAATAACCATCAATCAGTTCCTCCTATGGAAATTCAAGTTTACTTACTTAACCAAAGTTGAAGGCTAACACTGGAAAACAGAAAGTAGTTTTTAAAAGTAGTAATGACCCAAACCTCAGTGTAATATCAATGGAAGATCACTATCATTTACTTAACAATACTTCTTTACCTATTTTTTAAAAAGAATGTATTATTTATTTATTCTTTATTTAGAGACAGATAAACAATTTTTCATTCTCCTATTGGATAGAGAAGCATGAGAAGTGAAATCTATTTATTCCAAAGTACAAAATTAAACATTTAGTGCCAAGGCAGACAGTAATACTTTATCTTTCAATGTCTGGAGAAGTGTCTATTTTGCCTTTAACTCCATGTTTTCTTATTCAGAACAAGGGCCACCCAGGACGGGTGTTCGAATGGATTCCTCGGGCAAGTATTATTTTGCCTTCATTGTGCTACACATCCTTCAATCTCCATTTTATGTTAGTGGTGTACTTTTTTAAATCATGGCTTAGAGCCAGGGTCAATCATGAGTGTCCAGTTACCATCCTGTGTAATATAGTTTTTATGTTTTTGAACTTCACTAAGCCAAAAATGTCCGTTTAATCCTCATTTGTGAGAAGAAAAGAAGCAAATGTTTTTCTCTTTTCTTAAACCCTCAAGGAAGGTAGAGGTTTAACAAATCCTGTGTTCATTTTTACTACTACTACTACTACTACTATTACAACCACTACTTCTACTGCTTGGAAGGCAAGCCAGAGGATTACTATTGGTAATAAACCTTACTTGGACTCATACAATAATTTAGGCTAGTTTTTCTACAGAAATAAGGGAAACAATCAGTTTACTCCTGATTCTTATGCCATAAAGAATCTCTTGTGTAATAAAATTGTTGATAAATAAAATGCAGTCAGGTACTTTCCATTTTTTAACTAGTTATGTCTTTAAAAAAAACAGTCACATTAGAATTCTCTTTTTAAAATGAGCGCCGCGATAGACAGCCATTAAAATAATGTTCTGGAAAACTTTAAATTTACTTTAAAAAACTGACTAAGATAATACAAAATTTAAGACAGCGTGTCGTCACACACAACAGAACAACTTACACTCACTGCCCTGTTTTTACTGGCTTATTTTCAGTTATATTTAGCAACAGCAAAGCTTCCTCCAAAAAATACACTAACATTTATTGAATTGCTGCCTACATGCCAGGTTTTGCTACTATGACACGAACTCCCCAGAAATCCACATACTTAACCTAAGCCAAAAGGTTGACTTCAAGATTTTAGTTTTGGTTTTTTTCTGTCTGGAGCAGGTTCTTAAAAAAAAATTTTTTCCTGCACTGAATTTTTTCCCACATCTGTAAATGGCTTGGATTCAAATATTCCCTTTTCCTGATTCAAGATGATTTCCAAAAGAAATCTTGGTGGAAGGGAATATAGTGTCAGATCTGCTTTCCCAGGAATATTAGAACACTTAAATTGAGATTACACTTCCTCTCCTTTGGGATTGTCCCTTAGGCCAAGATAAAGAGTGAAATCAATATATTGTATACCATACAAAATACATTCTTTATCCAGAGAGCTTATTCTGCTAAGAGATCCTTTTCAGGGTGATTCAATAAGGAGAGGCATCCTTCTTTTTTATAATGCTCCCTATTTCTTTTCATTAAAATGCATACAAGATTCGAGTACAAAAATATATAGTGCCCTATTTCAAACTTCATTCTGTGCAAAAAGTTAATTCCCTGAAGCATTACCACATCCCATCTACAAAGCCTTAGCTTACAAAATGTCATTTCCTACATTTATCGGCAAAAAAGAAAAAAAAAACAGTTCAGATGCACAGTGGAAAAGTTCCACCTGAGAAAAAAAAACCACACCATACACTAAACCTGTTTTAGATCTTGCTGATAATGTATTAAGAATATGCTAAAATGTCCACCAAGCTAGAATTCATCATTCATCATTTTAGGATATTTTTAATTTTTAAGTATCTGTGGGGGTATCGCCTATTATGTTTTGTTGCAATCTCTCTCTCTCTCTGTCTTCGTTCCTTCCTTCCTTTCTTCCTTCCTCTTCTTTTATTATTCTACAGAATAATAGAATGTGATGAAATTGACATTCCGTAGCAATTGAAGGTTCCTTTTTAAAACTCCAGGTTGACTTCTAAAGTGTAGAGCACTAGATACCAATATCTGGAATACAAGTTGAGTCAAACATTTAGAAAATGTGTACCACTTAGGAATTACTGTCCCTGTTGTCTCTTGTCTGAGTATAGATTCATTAAACATTTCAACCAACTCGCCTATTAGTTCATCCGGCACATTCCACTATCATATTTACATGGAAACATGTTTTCAGCTGTCAAGTTTCAAAAAATGCCCCCAATTCACACTATTTGTCTTTCTCAATCCACCTAGGCACCAAGCTATTATAGCATGTATAGAATATGCTTGCCTGATTGTTTAGGGTGTATCATATTATTGTTTATTCCCCTATATTTGATTCTAATCCATTGCATTTTACTCAATTTTACTATTTCAATCCACTGCATTTTCGACCTATTTCCCAGGCTGCTATAGGCATGGAATTCATGTGTCTCATTATAGACAAAGTGACTGACCATATAATTTAAGGAATGTGACCTTCAACAACATTTAGAGAGGTTTTTATTTTTATTTTGGCTGTAGGTGTAATTTCTAGCTGGAGCTGTGTTTGGCTTTTTAGTATTAACTCATATTTAAATGCAAAGGTTTGCTGAATTTCTCAGTTTTCTAAATGTAGAGTACAATTATTATAATGTTGGAGTGTCTTAATGGTGGCCTTAAAGTGATTTAAATAAAATAGAAGAATGCATGAATAGATTCTGTAAAATATCAGTTACACCCATGATAATGTTGCAACTGCCACAATCCCAAGATAGACAATTGTTGATTTGGCGTGGAATACCCTTTTAAAAAACCTGCATATCAAGCCCATGATTGTATGTGATGTAACCGATTCATTCACATGAGAATGAATGTATATGGAAAGCTTTACACTGCAGCTTTTCTGAGAATATCTGAAATTAGAAAAGCTTTTTTTTTTAACTTCTGCTTTCCTGCTTGTAAATCTTTCCTGAAAAATCTATAGAGATTTCCCTTGGAAATTTTTCTGTAAGAGATTAGTCCTAAAGTGCTATAGCAATATTATGTATCAACTCTTACTGATCAAGTATAGGACAGTGGGATGTTGATTAGGCAGATAAAAGTTGGAATCCGATGATTTCTGGAGGTCCACAATGTTTGCAGTGCTGAAACAAATCAGTCCTACCGATGCGGGTATCAGAAATCATCCTGTTAGGAATGGTTTGCTAATTTCAAAGATTGAGGGTGTTCCAAGAAAGTCTAAAACATTTACAATCATAAATTTTGATATGGACGTATGGCCATTGTTGTATAAGGAGGAACTTTTATTTTCTGGTGTTTACTCTTCCCATAGTTAAAGAGCAAATATAAATGCCTTGAAGATTGCATCGGTTTTTGACACAGACACATTTACCCATATGCACTAACGCTGTGCTACTTCAAAAATTATTCAAAGAAAGTCCTTTGGAGCTTGCACAAGTGCAACCTGTCATTCATTCCTCAGAGCAGCAGGATCTTGTTTTTTTTAAGCTCACATACAAGCCAGAAATAACTTGGGTTGTTTAATAACCTAATTTAGTTTTACAGCACTGTTTACAGATAGCTTTACAGCATTGCTTCCTGCCAATCAATGTTCAACACACTGTCTCATGGTTTGCATTAACTCTGGTGGCGCTATCATATATCATTTACGGATCTCAATACTGTGCAGTTAAGTTTCCTTTGGGGGAAAATTGTATCTCAATGAACTATTATTTTGAACCAGGTTCAGATTACAAGGAGTTAGATGTTCATCTTCGGAGAATGGAATCTGGATTTGGCTTCAGAATTCTTGGAGGAGATGAACCAGGACAGCCAGTAAGTTAGTTCTTGACAACTTTATACTGTTGGCATCTGTATCTGTCAGAAATATATACTTTGGATAATGGCTGTAGCGGGATGGCATTTTTCCCCCTTGTTCAGATATTGAAAAAGGCAAGTCTCTTGAGTTATCAGCATCTCCATCTACAAGCTGTCATTGTGAATCAGTCTGTATTAAGCTACTAAGAGTGGCTCATTTTATTCTTGACATCTTTCCGTTGCTGATTTACAGACTCCTGCAAGATGTCCTCACGTAGTGAAGCCCTGGTTTAACAACAAAACAGTACAGTTGTATTTTAACTTTCTCAGGGAAAATGAATATCATGCTTTGCTACAAAACTATGAAAAATGTTTGCTGGAGAAATGTAATAATTTTGGGGTTTTGAGCTTTGTTTTAGCTCTCTGCTTATCATTCATTCTTGAAAACCATCAACATGTATCTTGAGACTGAACTGCATTCTGAAATTCATAAGGTAATGATTTGCAGTAATCATTCACCAATATTATGTAGCATCCAAATAAATGCTTCAATCAATGTTATTTCAGTCATAGACCAGCATAGAATTAATAACATAACAATTACACTTAAATAGAAATAAAAATAAAAAGTCGTATCGATAGAATAAAATGGGGTAAAAATAAAATTATTAAGGTGAAACTACAGAGTAGAGCTATTAAAACACAAAAGAATCCTCTAAAATTACAATTAATTTTACAATGAATAATCTAAATACTAGAACAGAGAACTATAAAAGGCCATAAATAATACTAGAATTTATAAAACACTGTGAAAATGTAAACTACGCTAACTTATGTTAAGTCTAATACTTGCTGAAGCCCTGCTAGGATTTGTTGGGATTAAGACCATTATAGACAACCCGTAACCTGTTGGGTGATTGTTTCAGAGATATTTCCTTACCTAAACAGAGAAAAAGAATGACCACAGGTGGGCAAAAAAGCAGTGGGATCAGGAGCAACTTCCAACTTCCTGCCAGCTTCCCCATTGACTTTCCTTGTCAGCAATCACGGTCGAGTTTAGACTTCCTGCTGCCTTCCCCGTTCACTTGTGGGAAGCTGTCAGGGAGTATTGAAAATGACGATCACATGACCGTGGCTGACGACGGCAGCGCGGCAGTGTTGAAGCGACAACTGCATGGCGGTGCTGAAGCGGCCACAAATTTGCCAAATTTCATTCCTATAGGAGTCACAGGTCCTGGATTTTAGATGCATTCTGTAAGTTATCCCATTTAAACTACCTTGGTTCAAAAATTGTTGCCCAATGATGCACCATTTTGCCCATCTGAAGGTTACAATCAGACATGAGAGTTTTAGTAGTATATAGATGGTCCAACCAATTATAACAAAGAAATAGCAAAATAAAACATAGAGCAGTATGTGTATATTTAAAAGAAGAAGAG